ACGACGCACAAGTGTTTTGTACGCACCCAAAGTAAAAACATAATAATTTTATATAATAAAGTTTCAAATGTACAAAAAGGTTTATCATATTTTTAAGTTCTGGGTATTCGAAGGTGCATTAAAATAATACTTTGGTATTCGAGGTACAATAATACTTGCGGTTTTGAGACAATTAAGTATTCCGTCATGGTGTATAATCTGGCATTGTATCGGTCCTGTACAATGTTGAAAGTGAAAGAGTCCACTGTATATTTTTAGTTACATACACTTCTTCAATGATGGATGACAATTGGACCTCTTATTATATAATCCAACTCTGGCTTAATGAGATGCATGGATCAAAAATCAAGATGCCAAAAGGTGTCAATTTAAATTCTGTATCCAAATACCTTTAAATTAGTATGTGACTTAGAAATATGCTTGGAATATTTAAATTTGAATGTACCATAATATTACTTTTAAGAAAGAAGATATTGAAAATTTTGGAAACAAATTGAACTCCATAGCAACCATTTGGCCAGAGCTGATCACATATATAGTTATAATAGACCCACTGTGTTATAAGATTATCAGTTATTTTTCTGTTGTATGATTTTTATTATGAAAATAAACCAATTTAGTTTGACCATTTTTTAGTTTTCTGCAAACACACAAAATGAAACAATAAAAGTAAACAAAAGATGGCATATACACATAGAAATTCTTTGTAGTGAGTGTATGTAACAGTATGGTCAATTATTACTTTCTTAATTATTTGTTTTGTAAGGTTAAATTATTCCTGGAAGTATTCAGCCAGGATATTTCTAATGTTAGTGCAGTCTGCATTGATTGCCTCTTCATTACTTTGATTTGGCTGAGGCATTTAGTTTTCTCCCTTTGCTACATCCTCTAGCCATTCAACCCTAAATGGGTCTTTTGCTTGTTCGCATATGTTATGAAGTATGCAACAGGTCATAATAATATTGGGGACCTTGTCAACATTCATATCCAATCGCTTTAATAAGCAGCGCCAGCGACCTTTTAGGCGACCAAAGGAATTTTCTACCGTCATGCGTGAACTACTTAGCTTATAATTAAATGTCTTTTGTTTTTGGGTCAGGTGTCCATTGTCTGTGTATGGTTCCATTAGAAAGTTGGATAATGGATAAGCCGGATCACCTAACAAGACGATAGGCAGGCGCACATTATTGACATCAATCATCTTGCCGGCAAATAATGTCCCAGACAGCCCTTTTGCATATATTTTGGAGTTTGCATAGACTCGTGCATCATGAACACTTCCTGGCCACCCGATATTTAGGTCTGTGAATTCATAACGATCATTCACAACTGCTTGAACAATGATGGAATACCACCCTTTTCTGTTATGGAAGTCAGCATGGTTCATGCTCGGTCCTAATATAGGAATATGACTGCCATCTATTGCTCCACCTGCATTTGGAAATCCCCATTTCGACCGATACCCATTTACAACTCTATTCAGTTCTTCACCTGATGGAAATTTAATGAATTTGTCCTTGATCGAAATCAGGGACTCACAAAATATGTGTATAATTGAAGACACGGTTGACCGGCCAACCCCAAATAATGCAGCCACAGTTCTGTACTCAGCATTGGTCCCTAAAACCCATAAACTTATGCCAACCTAAAAAAAAAAGGGTTACCATACTTTAAATGGGAGGGGTAGAAGATTGTTCTCAATATTTCCAATCATTTTAGTTCAGTGATAAAATCTATTATTCAGTCTAGTATTAAATTGACAAAACTAGATTTGTTTTTTACTAAGGCCATCTACATGTACAAACAAATATCTACTTCCAATCCAAATCAGTAGGCGGCCAACATAGAAAATAATAGTATGTGTTGCATGTTCTTATATTCTCCAAGCAGAAGTGAATATCTCAACCAATACAGCGATCATAAAATCCAAAATAGCCTACCTGTCGCTCAACAGATATTGGTTCCCTCATACTTGTTACTCAAGAAATGGTCTCAAAATTCTGCACAGATATTCAAATGTACATTTTGACATTCTGAGGTTTCCAAATACTGTATATCATCATAAAAGCTGAAAATAAAATGTAAAGGAATTAGATTAGGTAAATAATTAAACTTAAAGTAGTCAATATCATCCAAAATCTGTGACATTGAAAACACAAAGTATTTGTCAATTTCAATCAACATTGATCTTGTGATCTTAACGGGGAAAAGATGGGTTTCTGATATCCAATATTTGAGACAAAACAAACATTTAACCATTGGTACACGAATTGTGTAATGCATTTCAGTGTCATTTGTAACAAGGGACTAGAAGAACGAGGCTAGACATATTCCCACAAGTCATATTCTTATCTGGAGAGCATGCACAATAAATACTATCAGTGTAGACTGGAATAACCAGTTGCTAGACATTGCCATTCGATTTAGACATCTAGAGTATTTCGACGAATATAACTAATTAGAAATTATGTGTTGCGACCCATTTGTGTCAATTTCTAGATCCCAAATATTAACAATTTAGCTCTTTTAAGCATGCAACTATTATTATTTGAAATTAAAAATTGTCTATATGGCACATATAATAGCACAGGCCTATTTGTGTGAAGATTGTTTTGTTTTTTTAGGTTGTTTTTTTTTTTTTGGGGGGGGGGGGGACGTTATATTTTCTATAAATATTTAATTGATGACCCCTTGGTTAATATTTGTTTTATACACCTTGTCCGTGTACATATTTGACTACATTATAATGATTATAAATTTTAAAACAATATATATGAATATATCAAACCAAACCTGTATGCGTGATTCCACCAATTGTCACTGTGATACCGTGACCATATTCTCCTGTTGGTTGGCATGAATATCACAGAAGTGACACTCATTAGCATCAGAAAGAAGTACCTTTGTTGACTCTGTCGTTGTCTAAACTGTTTAATTCTATGTCTCAAAGCATTAGTATTCATTTCTAGGAAATGTGTATAAACTATCCGAGAGTAAGAGAAACAAATTTCGCGGATTTTTTTTTCACAGGATGTTTACATATTCTACCAGGAAATGGTATGTACGCATGCATAGTTAACTCTAACCTCCGACCGAAGAGGTCAGAATAGTTAAACAGGTTTGACTTATAGTACGTGTGAACGCAACACGACGCTGTCTTGAAAACCCCGGCGATTTTGAACTGGTTTAAAAATAAGTGTCTGAACGGGGTATTAGTCACGTACATGCGTGAACCGAATCCACGCCAATTGACTCTATGATAGACGTTACTCACTGAGCCACCGCGACTCCCTTGATATTATAATACTTGATATAATATCAAGGTTAATTTACGTCCGCTTCCATTGAGATGATACGGTAATCGAGTAGTTTCCTAGTAAGATTGGGCGTCTAAACTTTTCATATATCATGTCATACTGTTACTGGAAATAACCACCTGATAAATACATTTGTGACAATGTATCTTTAATATCCTTGTGGTTGAAGCGGATATTTAGTTGAGAGATTAATTCTCCAAATATTGCTTGGGGTTGCGTGACCGAATGGTTAACGCGAGCGCGTTAGATCATAAGGTCTGTCATTGAGTCAAATGGCATGGTTTCGATTCCCCGCTTGTACGTGACAAGACGTAGTGTCCAACCTCATAAGTTTTCCCCGGGTTTTGCGGTTTCCTCCCACTTCTAAAGATCCTTAAGCGAATCCTTTACATAAAATTAAACCATGTTAGTCCCGAAATCTCCCTCTCTCTCTCTCTCTCTCATAGGTGTACCAGCCAGGAAAACGGGTTTGCGGCAGTTAAAGTTTCAAAATTTTCTCCCGACTTTCCCGTCTCCGTGGACTCTGAATGATTGGTTGGTATTCGAGTCATCTGCCTAAGTAAGGGTACATTAGATCACTTTGAAGTTGCTGCATTCATGGGCTGGAACAGCAAGAAAACGCATTTGCGGGAATGGCCTCCTTCGCCGCTCGCAGACGACCGGAACTACTTTCTGTAAACCGAAATGTTTTCGGGCATTTCAGATTCTGCCCTTCTAACATTCATCGACCCCCCACGCCTCTCGCCGACAGGGATCCCGGACAAGTGGGATGTGACCCTGGGCGTTCTAGTTGAGTTTTTTTTAACACCGTCGACATATGATATTTCTCTAATCCATCAATTAATTAGCCTGCACGTGTACAGGTCTTTAGCACGACGGTGGCCAGTAATCAGCCGGGATCGAACCCACACCACTTGATTCAATTAAAGCGGACGTTAACCTAATCGTCCCCCTATTGACTCATCCTGGGTTGGCACTGGTGTAGGCCTTCAGACCTGGCAAGAAAAAAGGTGTAGTCATTCGGATGGTACAGAAAACTGAGGTCCCGTGCAGAACCCTTGACATAAAAGTAGGCCGTAGCGTCGTTGACTGGTTAAATTTCCCCTCATAGCGCCTTGTGTGTGGCGTATGTCCGTCTTTGTTAACCCAATCGGGGCAGAAGACAAGGGCGGGTATTATAGACTTGATGATACTTGATATATTTGATACTTTAAAAAATGGGAGCCGCCGTGGCCGTGGCTAAGTTATTCGTTGACTAGGGGCAAGTGGTCCAATCCCGTTGTTGATTTCGAAAGTTCTCTGTGATTTTCCGGTGAACACTTTGACGTACATTTGACAGTTGGAATTCGATATAAGAGGAGGGCGTAGCGGCGTATGTCCGTCTTCATTAGCCCAGTTGGAGCAAACTCGTAACAGGTTAAATCTCATTTTACTCCCTTTTATTTCATGTATGCAAACTGGTACATAGAAGAGGTTGATTTATGACATCATGAATCACATCGATATTAACTGAACAAAAACAAGCATATTTGCATTTCATTAAAACAGCGATTGATTATATTTACTTTTATATTTACGGTCATTTTCATCATGGTCTTCAAGTCAATGAAACACGCCACACCGCCTGGTTAGGTTAGGGCGCCGCGGTGGAAATGTTTCAGAGACAATAAAACAGAGGTCGGATTCAATTTAAAGATAAATTTATTTTCCTCAACAACCCAGTATTTTAACTAAACAGGCCCGGGATTTCCCCACCAACCCAATATTTTAACTAAACAAGCCCGGGGTTCCCCGCCAACCCAGTATATTTATTAAATAATCACAGGGTATCCCCCACCACCCAGCACTTTAACTAAACAATCCGGTGTTTCCCCCACAAACCCAGCAATAAAAGCACTATCAATAATCGGTATTTTGGAACTTGTGGTATATTCTACTGATATCTTTCTGCTACTCTTGGCCTTAAATCTCTCCACCAACTCAGCATCTTGATTAAATAAGAACGGGTTTTCCCCACCAATCTAGTATTTGAATATAATAAGCAATCAACCCAGAAAGAGCTAAATCTCTATTCTGTGGCACCCAGTAATGGACACAAATAGATCGCAACAAATAATAATGTATTATGAATATATATAACCTGATTTACATTCAATCGTTTCTATTATACTGTAATTTATAATCAGTTATGTTTGACGAAATACGCGAAGGGTCTGAATTTAAAAGGTGATATTCTTCTACGTGGGATATATTAAGTCTCCTTCATCGAGTCCCTTAATGCAAATGGTACCCGAAGCATTCTACACGCGATTCAAGTGCCAATGTTAATATTTTCATTTTGACTGAAACATCAATCGTTTCTGTTTGCATTGTCGAAGACTGGATGATATTGAGTTAGTTAGCGACTTGACTCCTTCAATAAGCACGGGGGTTTCGTCATCCATAATTTCATCTAGATAAGCACTGTCAATGATCAGTATTCAGGACTTGTTGCCCTACACCTCGCCTTATATCTGTACGTGGTTAATTTGTTGTGAAGAGCTTGATTAATGGCCACGTTCTTGTCCTTTGACATTGCTACACAGTAATCTGAAATGATTAACATACATTATAAAATGGCCATTGTTTCAGTCTAGTTGGCTAATATGTATTAGGTATGGGCTGGGTAACCCCACACTGTAAAAAATATCCATTTTTAATGTGAGCGAATTCAGTAGTTTAGCACCTTTTTTGTGTCAATTGATGACATTGTGTTAATAGTATGAATTATTTCTTCAAATTACGTGTTTTATCTATTTCAGTGGAATATTCAATATTAAACAGGAAATTTCCGTGACATTTAGGGAACAATGTTTTATTCCCTTCTATAATGGACTTAATTCTGTTATTTTACGGAATAAATGGTGGAATGACCAGGAGGTTTCGTGAATATTAGGGATATAATGTTTTATTCCCTTCTGTAATTCTGTTATCGGTACCGATAAGTAATCGTATACATATATAATCATTCCTAATAATTATCATGTTAAAGTACTCATTTCAATATATTAACCATAATATGAAGAATCATATTTTGTACCGTTTGGTATATTAATTGACATGTATATCTAATTTCCATTATTTATAAGATCTATAAAGTTTATTGTTATTCATCATACGGTAATCAGATTGTAAGTATTTTCATAAATGTGTAAAAATATGTTTTAACGCTGCGTGTGTGAAAAGGTAGCATCTGGTAATCAAGCACGCTTGAATCTGGATAGTATAACCGGTTGGCCAGTGTAAGTCGGTTTGTCTCTATGACAGCGTCTACATACCTGCAAATTGATAATACCGCAAACTCACATCTGAAAGCCTCCAACCACCGTCGAGTAGCGGTCTGTGATACCTTGCTCTCGATTCTTATATTAGCGAACAGAGGTTACGTTTAAAGATTTCCTTCGATATCACTTCGGTGGAAGCGGACAGTAAATAAAGTCATTAATGCACACGTATAAAGTCAATGGTTCGTTCAATGAAATTTTTATCACCTTCATGCTCAGGAAACAAAATTTACCAAATGGAATTTATGTTAATTGAAGGAATTTCTGTAAATTAAAGGATAAATAAATACGGATAAAATTTTCATGGTAATTTTTGTTTCCGTAATTTTTTTACGTTTTTACATGGATATGTTTGTTACAGTGCAGGGTCTGAACCAACTGTCAAGCGCCTTTTTTAGCATGACACGGATAAATCCCGATTTTCTGTTAACCATTTGAGCTAGAGGCGTGTCCTTGTCAGACATCCCGGCTAGCACCATTGACAAGAGCTAGATTATGACCTTGTCAGACACACCGCCCAGCACCATTGACAAGAGCTAGATTATGACCTTGTCAGACACCCCGCCCATAGCACCATTGACAAGAGCTAGATCTTGTCCTTGTCAGACACACCGCCCAGCACCATTGACAAGAAGAAACCGGAATGGAAAATTTCGAAAAATATTCTCGGCCTACACCGAGATCGAACGTGGTGTTAATATGCTGGCACCATAGTAACCATGCCACACTGTGAAAACAAAATTTTACCTCTAATGGCTTGAACTACGGTTGCATCCAATGACGCCAGACCAGGTTTAGGATCTTTTGATACTGAACCAAAACATAGCTCTTCTTTTGTAAACATGACGCTCAGAAGGTGACGAGTCACGGATTGTCCACTCTTTGTTTTCTCGAATAATTTCTTGACGTGGACGAGATCTGATGGATATATGAACACACCATACCCATGACAGAGTTCAATCATCTGAAACAAAATAATATAGCTATGTATACAAATAGATGTGGGGGCGGTGGGCGGGGAGAGAGAGAGAGAGAGAGAGGGGGGGTGTGTCAAACCTAGGTCATTTCGTAACTAACATATGATTCAGTACTACTTCAATAATTCGCTCGCGATCCCACTCCTTGTCACGTACAGGCGGGGATTCAAAACCGCGCCACGTGACTTAATGGCAGACATTATGATCCAACGAGCATGCTTTAAACCATTCGACAACCCAATCAAAGGATGACGTCACATCTGTATAAGTGAATGGGTTCGGGGTTCCAACCCAACCGTAACCTCCAACTGTGTTGTATAGTCCTGGGATTGTAATGATACAGGCATCACTCAAAATGAAACAAAGGTGGGGGGGGGAACTACAAATGAATTATAAATAGGCCTGCTTATTGGGGTGGGGGTGGGGGACTTTACTGAAACTGAAACAACAAATTAACAATGAATGAATTATAAATAGACTGGGGGGTGTTGCTCGTAGCTCGTAGGGGTCTTTAGCAGTGGGAGGAAACCAGAGGACTCGGAAAAAACCCACGAGGTTGGACAGGCGACCATACTCCTTGTATTCGAAACCACGCCAGTTGACTCAATGACAGGCCTTATGATACAGCGCGCACGTGGTAACCATTCGGCCATCCAACCCCCCGATTTATAAATAGGCCTGCTTACTTTATATTTCTCTGCTGCTCTTTTATTAACTCTACAGGCTCAGGGCAATACGGTGTCTGTAAAAAATATAATAACGACTCGTTCATCAGAATTTACATGTTTTAACGATAGTTTCATATTTTCTGAATAATGGTTTATATTTTCTACACAATAATACTTAGAAATTGTATTATATTTCACTTGAAAATAAAAGCTACATAATGGAAGTGGGGAGGTCTACTTGGTCGAGGCATATTACTTTCCTTGTTTTGAGGTGCCTCTACCTGTCCCAGCAAACATTCAAAATTTAAACATTTTAGTTTTGAAAACTGACTTAGAGGATTATAGGATTGTAAGGACTGTCTCCAAATGAAACGTGGTTTAACGTCCTACTGTTCTGCTACGATTGGTCTTATGAAGACGGGCATACGCCATACAGTGTAGTATGAGGGGATTTTTGCCTGACAGTGGCTCTACAGCCTACTCTTGTATCGAATTCCAACTGTCAAGGGATCTTTTATGTACACACCAATGTGTACACGGGACTGCGGCGTTTCGTCAAAATCCGACCGGCCATACGTTGTTCTGTTGTCCTGCACTACTGACAAGGAGGAACCACGCCGGAAAGACGCGATGAACTTTCTCGGCCAACACAGGGATCGAACATGGGACCCCAGATTAGCGAGCCAACGTCTTACTAAGGCACCATTGCTCCCTAAATGGTCAACAAGATTTACATCAGTGGAGCAAACCATCAGTATTGCTTTCATTCCAGACAAATCTAGCTTTAGCCAGACCATGGCTTAACAAGCTATCGGACTTGTTTCTTCATGATCGTAATAACACTACAGAATCAATGATTTTACAACTTTATTGCTAAGCTGTAATGGCTTTAAATGTTCCTCGTCCTCAATAATAATAGCTGCTAGGAATATCTGAATGAGCTTTGATCCATTTCGCTCTACACCCTAATTTATACCCCCTAATTTCTGTACGTCTTAGATAGCCTTGACGTTAATTTCCATCCCAAATGTGGAATAAATCTCTTTATTTCACAGGACTAAAGGAGGAGACATTACCTTATTTAGCCTACCAACCATAGGTCAATTAACAGACAGAACTTGATGGATATCTTGACAATGGTTATGATTTTACCAAAATATCACTGGGTTTTTTTTTTATGTATAACTATCTATTCACGTTTATCAAGTGTGTGTGATTTGACTCTATAGACAGAGTAAAGTAACAATTTTTCAAAGAACCAAAATTGTTTTAAGGACCAAACTGTTACACATGTTCAAGGGCGTTTTTTTAAAATTTGAGTGAAAAATCTGAATTTTGATAAAACACTGTAGGTATATATAAATGTACATACCTGTGTAGGTATTGACAGGTATATCAACATATCGACTATCTTCCAATTTATTGTTGGCTTTATCCAGCTTCGCTTCTAATTCTCTTATCTGCTTCTGAAGAACCCCACAGTGTTCACAGAAAACTGTTTTGGATGTATTTTCTTTTGAATCTGGGGAATAGTTAAAGATACATTAGTTAAGAGTTTTAATAAAGAGTTGGCCATTCTTGCTATAATAATTCAAAATTAGATGATGAAAAAAGAAATATTGAAATCGGGACTTAGCCTCGCTTTCCCAATTTTACATTAAATTTTTAAATGGCGAACCGTTCTAATCTAGTTAAAATCTCGAGTATCCGATGCCATCGAGAGTCGATTATGGTCTTGTTTTGTTAATAAATGTGTAATTAATAATTTAGATAACATTTTAGGCCTAAAGAAAAACCTGCAATAGACAGATTTAGCTCTTGCATAATCTATGTTTAATATGATTATTACAATGACATCATTATTAATGTGACGTCATAATGTATGTTTAGTTTAACAAATGTAGTTTAAACAATGCAAGCATTTATTCTACATTATTGCTATCTCAAAGCTGTCTAATATTTAATCAAAAAACATACATGGTTCAAATAATGTGTTAGACATTACGTTTATAGAATACAAACATTTCACTCCAATCCGATTAAAATACAGATCTATATTTCGTTTCGTTTTTGATACTTTCGACGGCCTCTACTATTCGAAGATCTGACTGTAGTGCGAGGTCGTTTCAAGGGTCACACGAGCGTCTTTTCACCCTATGACGTCAGACATTGATTAATCAAGCAGCGTTGCGGTTTCTAGTGCTTTACCCACAGTTCCATGCACGGAACGCCGTAACAGGCCGGTTCATTGGTTAATTCCACAAATGAAGCAGAGCGCCTGTTATATAACAACTCTTCCAGATCATAGTGTTATGAAGACAAGTAAAACGAAATTTTTAACTATAAAAAACGAAACGAATAGGACCTTGTTATAATCAGATTTAAAATTACGTGTCTGGGTCGTTTTACAACAAAGTCGTCCATGGAAGCAATCCCATCTTAATGTTTATAAGCCATGCCCTTAATGTATCATATTATTTGGGTTTGGACTTGTGTTTTTGCGACGACCCATCAAATATTGACGTATACATTTATTCATGAACTTTTCAATTCTAAGAATCATTTTCCAAACTTATCAAGGAAATGAAATGAGTTTGTTTGCCACCGCGGTTAACCAAATAAAAATGTTCTGCTCTGACAGAGCTAATGAAAACGGGCATACGTCATGCAATGTGGTATGAAGCAATTTTGCCCGGACAGCGGCGCTACGGTCTACTTTAATATCTAATTGCAACTGCCATGGGATCTTTTACGTCCTGCAATGACAAGGGAAAACCACATCGGAAAATCTCGACGAACGTTCTCGACCAACACCGGGAGCGAGTCTTCTTTGTCACACTATCCGTGCTACACCACTTATAAATCCTATATGGACATTTCTCACCCAACACCGGGAGCGAGTCTTCTTTGTCACACTATCCATGCTACACCACTTATAAATCCTATATGGACATTTCTCGGTCAACACCGGGATCGAACCCGGACCTGCTGGTTAATGAGTCAGCGACTTAATCACCGAGCCCCCGTGGCCCCGGTTTATAAATGACCTGTACAAAATATAAATGAAATGAAATGAAATGGGGTTTAACGTCCTACTGTTCTGCTCTGAACTGGGCTAATGAAGACTGGCATGCGCCATACAGTGTGCTATGAGGGAAATTTTGCCCGGACAGCGGCAATACGGCCTACTCTTATATTAATTCCAACTGTCAAGGGATCTTTTACGTGAACGCCAATGTGTACACGGGACCTCGGTTTTTCGTCCAATCCGAACGACTAGACTGCTGTCCTGCATCACTGACAAGGGGAAACCACGCCGGAAAATCTGGATGAACTTTCTCGGCCAATGCAGGGATCGAACACCCGACCTCCAGACTAGCGAGCCAGCGGTTTTTTTTTGTAAATATGTTTATTCAATAAATATATAATCATACATTTTAATCATGGAACAGCACAAAATATTCTTAATCAATTAAAAGCATTATTTTTTTTTTTTATTTTATTTTTTTTTTTTTTAAAAAAACAAGAAAAATGAAAAGAAAAGAAATACATTCCTGAATCAAAATACAAAACCATTGACACATTAACACATTGATGAAATAATACATCAATAAATCAATGGATCCATACATTAATTCATAAATATATTTAAATTAGGTTGATTACAATATGTATTAAAAGAAGGTGCCATTCAATTTGAAACTTCAATCAAGATATAATTACACAAAGTTACATAGTATGTACATATAATGTTAAAGATGTTTTGGCTATTTTGATATTCAGTAATGGTAATCTAAGTCAATACGAATAGTATAATTTATAGTTTAAAATTAAATATTAATTACTTCATCGTTTTCTAATCATTTATATTAATTAGTGTATTTAAGGTGTCACGACAATTACAAATCTTAGCTTATATTTACGAGCTGATAAGATTTTACACAGTATCTAGCAGACGAGATTTCTGCCGCCTGCGCGGCGCGTCCCAATTACTGACCTACTATACACACTCAATCTGTGTCAGCTATACAAGACTCTACTTTCCAGTTCTTTTTTATCACCATACATCATATAAGTCCAGTTCTTCCAGTGCTCTTAAAATTTAACATTGAAAAGGGGCTATTGTAAACCTGTTAAGGCAGCGTCTTATCCACTTAGCCACAGCGAGCCCCTGTAGAAAATATAATTTCGATGATTTCCATTTTTAAATACTAACTACAGGCAGGCTCCTCTCGTTTAGGTCCCTCTTCCGATTCGTCCGATTCAAGTGGAATCTCATCACGTGTAGTGCCATATGTTCAAATTCCGGAAAGGTGGACACTTAATCGTTATCAGCCAGGATTGCTAAAAAATCAGAGGAACATTGGATCATAAATTGTATTTTGTGTAGAAAGTTACTTCAATGATTTAAAATTAAAAACTACTCCATATTTTTTTATATGTGAAATTTAGATGATTAAGACCATACCTCCATTTAATTCAGGTGCCACTGCTGTTTCTTTGAGCAGTCGGTTTAATTATGTTACGCTACCTAAACTAGATAATCCAGATTCATTGCCAGTGTGCTATGAGCGACATTTAGACCGGACAGTGGCTCTACAGCCTATACTCTTATGGGATCGTTAACGTGCACGCCACATACATGGGACCTCGGTTTTTCGTCCCACCCGAGCCAGTATACGTTGTCCCTTGTCAGGTCTGCAGTCCTGCACCACTGACAAGGAGGAACTACATTGGGGTACTTTCTCTGTCAACACAGAGATAGAACACGGGACCACTAGGTCAGTGAGTCAACGTCTTACCCACTCAGCCACCGTGGCTCGCTGGTGGAAGACAAATATCTAATTGTAATATCAGTTATAAGTTGGTTCAATTTTGCTCAGTATTTATAAAGATATATACAATATAGAAACCCCATCGATCTATGTTAATCGCTATGAAGTACGCCTGCGGCCATTTTGTTGTCGCGACAATTTAATGACAAACCCGTTTTAAATCCGACTGAATCCAGTCAGGGAGATTATCCAGCGTTTGTATTATGATTTTGTTTTCTTAATTATGTGTCAAATAACGAATCTGGGTATATATCAACGTGGCTTAAACAGACATTATACAAGAGCTAAATCGGATTATTGCATGTCTTTCTTTAGGCCTGAAATGTTATATAAATTATTAATTAGACATTAATTAACTTATCCAGATCATAATCAACTCTCGATATCATCGCTATCTTGTGACCTCTAACCGACTTAGCTACTTTAACAATTAGACCCACCAGGTACTGTAGCTTGCTTACGGCTGTAAATCTTCTTGTGACCTCTAACCTTAGCTTTATCTCCTGTTCTGTAAGGTGTAGGCCTATCCACCTTCGTAGACTCGTCGATATCTTTCACAGATACTACTGAGTAGCTACCGTCGTTCTCCCACTCAACTTATCCTTACACCTTGAAGAATTTTAATACTTTAAATCTCTCTGTAATAATGTTCTAAACGATTTGGACACGAAAACAGTTTTTCACTATAAACTGCTGCTTAACACCGGATTCTACTGTTGTGTGTGTGTGTGTGTGTCGTTGTTAAAGTCCGCTTACACCTAGTGCGATGATGTCGCACAACTGAATGTTCGTGACTGTAATGATTGATATAGTGGTTGTAATAGGGAAGTCTTTACTATTTTACTCACTTTGTTCGTGTTGTATATAAATAATTGGTACGGCATTCATTTTACATGACTGTCTTTACTTGACGTGTTTACATGTAATGATCAATGTTTATAATATGAGAGAGAGAGAGAGAGGGAGAGATGGAGGGAGAGAGAGAGAGAGAGAGATGTGGTTTAACGACCACTCGACACAAACCAAGTTATTCGGGACTAACATGGTTCAATCTTATTTCAATAAACCGGAGGACCCGTAGAAAATCAACGAGGTTGGACAGGCGATCTTATTCCTTGTCACGAACAGCCGGGGAATCGAAACTACACTAGTTGACCTTATGATACAATGCACACGCGCTAACAATTCGGCCACCCAAGACCATCGATGTGTGCTATGGGGGGGGGGGGGGGGGAGGGCAGCTTTGTCAGACAGGCGGCGATACCATCTGCTCTTAACCAATACCAATAGTGGTGGATTCTTTTACGTGCACAATGTCCTCGTTTTTTAGACCTATCCGATCGACTATACACTGTTCTGGAGCCACGTTGGCTCATTGAGTAGGACTTTGGAAGACGTTGGAAACGTACATTCTTATTTGCCAGTGGTGTATCCGACGGACCCTATTCATTGTCACGTCCGTTGTTAAAAGATACAGATTAGATTTTTTTTTATCTTTTTTTCAAAGTAAGGAGCCAGGGTAGCTAAGTGGGCGAGACGCTGGCTCGCTATCCCGTATGTCGCGTGTTCGATCCCTGTACTGGCCGAGAAAGTATGTCGGGATTTTCCTTCGTGCTTTCGCCTTGTCAGTGGTTGCAGGACCAGGGCCTGACAAGGAAAACAGTCTAATCATTCGGGTGTACACATTGTCGTGTACGTAAAAGATCCTTTTGCAGTTGGAATTCGATATAAGAGTAGGCCATAGTGTCGCAGCCCAGGCAAACATTCCCTTTTAGCACACTGTATGCCCGTCTTCATTATCCCGGTCGGACTGGAACACCATTTCATTTCATTTTTTCAAAGTATGTAAATATAAATGTGCCAGAAAATTATTTAAATATTTGAAAATAGAAATGAACGTGCGTTTCAGTGATACCTAACATGATATCTAGAATTCGTATTAAGATCATACGAGACGAAGGATCGAGACTTATCGAGTAGAGCCTAGCATTACGACGGCTGTATTAACATATTCTATATCTATCTTAACACATCACTGGTTTGAACGAATCAAAT